CTCCAGAGTGTTGTTCAGCATGGGGGTGAGTAGAAAATGAAGGCTAATCATGTTTTGGGTGTACTATTCCTTTAATGACAATAATACTCAACAAATGTCACTATTCTGCTTCTTGCTACGCAGAAGCGGCAAGAAACAACCATTGCGGATGATAATGCAGGGAGCACTTTTTATTTTCGACCATCCTGAAAAGACTGTGTTGTTCAGGACAGATCAGTAGTTCAAGACAACCAAACCAACCAGAACAATTCTGCTCTTTTTTTTAAATGGTTGAAATAATGTCTTTGACTTCTTAGAAAACACTAGAATGTGGTTCAGCAGCTGCACCAGGAAGTACATTTGCTTAGCAAAGGGGAAAACGCTCAAGACACATACCTATGTAAAGTAATCTATTACTTCCTCATCTTTGTTTGGCAAGTTTAAACTAGAACTGGAAGTTATAATTAATTAAGAGGTCACTCAAAATAGTGGGTAAATCAAATAATTGATTATTAGTTAAATGATTGGTTAAATGATTATATCTGTAATTTGCTTATTGACTAGGGTTCTTTTACCAAAAAGATTGGGGTCCTGGACTGGCTGTTTAAAATCCAGTTGACTCCATCAATTTACTGATTTAGACCATGGCTATCAAGAGAGGTATTAATCGCCAACCAAAGAAATCTGTCTGTGTTCCTTCAGATGTTACTGAAGGAAGAGAGATTGTGGCCTGAGTGAAAAAAAATCGTTAACCGAATAAATTAACTACAAAAGACCATGGGTTTAAATACAATGGTAGTGTTATTAGCTAATAATTCCTATTACAGTATTATTATATATAATACCTATGCAGACATTAAATAGAAAAAGCATAAGTAAAAAGTCAGTTCAAGAGTCTCTGAGGAATGTTCAGGTATAAATATTTAATACATTTAAAGTGTCCTTTAAAATATCAGTAGATGAATGTAAATAAACTCTATTGCAGATATTAAATGCAAGTTTTAATGATGAGCAATTAGCTAGCCAGCAATCAGAAGCTTAAAGCTTCTTTGAGATAAAACACAAACATATGCAGAACTTTCTATGTACTTTGGCAGGTCTCCCAAGCAGAGCACTTAGCAGACCAAGCAGAGCAGGAAGATTATATCTGAGTGCAAAGATTCAAGTTGGTTTATAATTTTATCTCTTACCAGTAGGTTGTTTCCACCTTGTGTGTTTGAGCTAGTAAATGTCACTCCTTTATTATTCAGTATATCCGTGATACCACAGAGAGAGATGAAGAGCTGGTCACAGCTGAAATTAAAAATGAAATATTTGACTAAACTTTCTTTTA